TAAAGGATTTTCCCACGTTTGCTATTTTTACTTGATCAATTTAGTTTCAGTTGACTGTTGTTGTTTTTTAAGTGTATGGCATGTGTTAGCCAGGGATCACCAAGGTGGCTGGCTGCTTCTGTGAAAGGATTTTTTTCAGGTGGTGTTATCTTTATCTGCAGGACACCTGAATGCCGGAAGTCATTTTGGGGAGGCTCCTTTCTTGTCCCTATGCAGTTTATTCACTCACGGGAATCGAGCCACCAACCTCAGCAGTAGGTAGGCCCAGAGTCTTACTATATGAGCTACCACAGCCCCCTGACTGTCAATTATCTAGTGGAGATGCTGATTCTCAATCCATTGTGGATTCTGTTAATGTTTTAAGGGAAGATGGAAATAGAATAAAGAATAAAACAAATCTCTCTATATAAAAGCCAAATACCACTCAAACACATCATCATGAAATCTCCAGAAACGTAAAGCTTATTAATTTGAAATTTGGCACGTACTGTATGTTCCTCTTGGCTTCTAAGTGCTTGCTAAGAAAGGATTTTTCGGAATGACCATCAGATCATTAGTATTTCTTATACAGTAATTGACACGCTCTGATACTAAGGAGTTCTACTCCCCCTCCCCACCTGAAAAAAAACCTGTTTCAACTGCCAGTTACCTCACATTTTGTTACCTCAGTTCAAACTGGCAGACATTCCACTCCTTCACTCAGGAGTGGTCTGGGGCTCCTTACAACACAAAATGCCAGTACCTCACCAAAATGTCTACTCCTTCCACCTATGAAACTGCTTCCGGACTCAAGGCAGTGGGAGCAATATTCCCTTATGTGTTTCAATCATTGACCACTACTGACCAAAGGATTGAACCGGAGTGAATCAGATTTCTCCTGTACTGCCTGATCACATAGTTTCATCACAAAGCACTGGTATCCAGGTACCGATAGTTTTATAAAACATCACAGATCTATGTGAAGGGAATGATAGCAAAGTTTTTCTCTCTCCGCAGCCTGTCAGAATGTATACTATTTCTGAAAGAGGAATGTGCTAATGCCTTCCCGCGTGCAATAACCATTGATAGATTCTCAAAAAAGGAAATAAAGTTTTGCTTCCTACAGACATATTCCGAAACTGGAGAGGTGCTATATCTAGCCATTCATAGGAAGTCAAAATATTTTGTTTACTAAAACTATTATTGTATGCCACATGCGTTATATCCTTCCTCATTTTAAGTTTAGATGTTTAAAAAAAGGTAAGGAACAGAGTAATTCAGGATAATTCGCTTTAATATTTGACCAGTGCTAAAATTATTGGTCTTACACACTTACTGAATAGAAGGTTGTAATTGCGAGTGTGAATACGATAGGGAACTTGTTCTATTTTTCATAAATAATTATTGTAACTATTATACGTATGGTTTTTAAATGGCCTGTCCTGGAGATAATTCTTGAACTAGAAACACAAAACCAGGAAGAGAGCTGTATGCAATGAAATTTCATTTTAATGTATAATGATTAGTGTACATTCAAAGCAGTGGTGGGTTACTCCCGGTACGCCCGCTACTATTCCATTCCGGTGCTCAGGAGGAGCCACCTGCCCACCCATGCTCCTTGCCAGTATTTGAGCTCTTTGGCGCTTCCATCACAGAGCATACGGCGCCTGAGCAACGCTCTCCCAAGCAGCTGGAGTATCACGGAGGCGTCATGGATCATCGCAGGAAGTAAGAACGCATGCGCGCACTGTGCACGTTCATGTGGTGGACGCCTGGCCCTATTGCACCATACTAGTTGCAATGCGATCCAGAACCCACCACTGATTCAAAGTGACAATAAAGTTATTATTCTGTTCTGTTCTGTTCTATACCTCTTGTTATATTCTCTGACTTGCATAGAGGAATATTGGTCTTTTAAATATCAACATCGCTGCTTGAAAATTAATCTACGTAAAGGTGTTAAGTGGAACACGGCCATTTTTCATACCTACGACCATTGCAGCATGTCCATGGTCACATGATTTACATTTGGATGGTTGGCAACTGATTCACATTTATGACGGTTGCTGTGCCCAGCGGCCACAGAATCCTGTTTCGTGACCTTCCAACTAGTAAAGTCAGTGTGGAAGCCAAACTCGCTTAATGACCATGTGGTTAATTTAAGAACAGCAGTAGTTCACTCAACAAATTTGGCAAGAAAAGTCGTAAAATGGAGCAAAACTTACTAAATAAATTTCTCACTTAGTGACATAAATTTGGGACTCGACTCCACTGTGGTGGTATGTTGAGGACTACCTGTTTTATTCTGTATGTCCTATTTTCATTATGTGTACAATATGTTTTAATATTATGTGGAGGTCGTCTTTTGCAGTTTTTTGTCTGTTATTCTTAATGTGCACTACCCAGAGTTGTTGTTGTTCCGTTGCTAAGTTGTGGCTGACAGAAAGCCAGACTTCCCACTCTCCACTGCCTCTTCATGATCATTGTGTCGATGACGCTATCTATCTCATCCTTCTCCTTTTGCCTTCCATCTTTCCCAACCTCAATGAGTCTTTTCCCCTCTCTTCTCATTTGGTAGCCAATGTATTTGAGCTACAGTTTCAGTGTTGGTTCTTCCAAAGGACAATCAAGGTTGATTTCCTTCAGGAAGACTGTTTTGATCTCTAAGGGACTCTTGAGAGTCTTCATCACAATTCAAAAGCATCAATTCAAATGTTGGATGGCCTTATAATTCCAATAACCTAAATAAATAAATATTTCCCATTTGTTGTTAGTAGCGAAGTCGTGTCCAACCCATCGCGACCCCATGGACAATGTTGCTCCAGGCCTTCCTGTCCTCTACCGTCCTCTGGAGTCCATTTAAGCTCAGGCCTACTGCTTCGGTGACTCCATCCAGCCACCTAATTCTCTGTCATCTCCTTCTTTTGCCCTCAATATTTCCCAGCATTAGGCTCTTCTCCAGGGAGTCCTTCCTTCTCAGCATATTTTCCATGGAAAATGGTATTATCTTTCCCAAATATCAAAATATCAGAGCTGCTACTAGAGTACAAATCACTTGTTTTGATCACCCATTTAATTTTGATGTAGGATTGTTAGAGATTTGGATTAATTTATACAATTTGTTTTCATTGCTCATAAAACGATTTTACTCTGTATTTTCCCTTTGGTTTTAAGACAGATGAGAATGGATTAAATTTGACCGGTCGCTATAAATCCATTCTGCCTGGTACCGTGTTTCCCAAAATGAAGACAGGATCTTATTTTCTTTTCGCCCCCGAAATAAGCGCTTGGCCTTATTTTGGGGGAGATCTTATTATTTTTGAGGTGCTGAAGGCGGCCAGCATGGTTACCTCATGGCTGCTACTGTGTTGGACTTTAACTGACAATTTCCAATGAGGACTGTAGGACGTTAGCACCCACCGCTCTCCAAGAAGAATGAAATATTCTAAGAAATATTAAAAAGGTAGAACATTATACCTTCCTGGAGGAGAAAAAGGAGATGCATGCTCTTGGAAAGCAGCCCCCGGAAAGACTGGGCCAGCTTATCTACAACACAAAAGACCTTCATCCTCAGGATATAATAGGATTAGCCCTCTACCCATCTCATCCCATGGTACCTGGGAAGATTACATCACCCAGCGGGATTCAACCAAGCCTGGGACTCAAGACAACCTACAAAGTTACCCCTGCATTGCCCTATGGGAGTCCGACAACCAATCAGAATACCTGCCCTTACACAGGAACAGGAAGTTCCAATACAGGGCCCAAAAGGGTGTAAATTTCTTTCTTTCTCTCACCCATGTGCTCATTTTGCCCATGAGTTCAAACCATGCGGTCCTGTCCACCATTAAGCCATCTTTCCATATAGCCTTCATGTTTCCAGTGTCTTTCTTCCCACTTGAAACTGAACCCAGCATGTTTCTTCCAACATGACTATAGTGATAGAAGAATAAGGATCACGTAATGGGACAGAAAAAGCAGCTATAGGCAGGGCGTTAGTTAGGTCTCCATTCTCACATGATCTGTGCTAACTGGGGAATCCTGGGAGTTGAAGTCCAGACCCCTTAAAGTTCCTATGGTTGAGAAACACTGCTCTGTCTTCCTGGAAATTGGCCAGCCTGAAACATCCCTTCTCTTCCACAATCTGTGGATGTTATTTGTGTGTTTTAAGTTTACTAAACACGCTACAAGGATAATAAACCTTTATTTCCAAACCAAGAAAATTGTGAAGATTCAAAGTTTAGATGGCAGACCTGTGCTGATACAGTGACATTTCTTTTATCAAATTGAATGTGGCTATGATTTAGGAGTCTAGGTGCAATGGAGTTAAAATTGCCAATAATTGGGGGGGAGGTATAATGTGCAACTTTGGTAAGAAATAACTTCTCTGAAGACTCTGGCAGATGAGAGAGAGAGAGAGTGTGTGTGTGTATTGTGTCACAATACACACACAGACACACACACACACATATATATATATATATATATTTATCAGCACAAAAGATATATAAAAATGTTTTCGTAGATTTTCACGGGTGTAGGTATGCTGGTCTTGTTGTATTCGGGTCTTTTCCCGTGTAAGATTAAGATTGTCTTGGCAACGTTTCAGCGACCTCTCACTCGCCATCTTCAGGCTGGGTTTCCCAAAATACTTTCATACACACACACACACACACACACACACACACACACACACACACACACACACTATATTGCCAAAAGTATTAGCTCACAACTGATTCTGATTATGTGGATGGGTGGATGAATACTTTTGGCAATATAGTGTGTGTGTGTGTGTGTGTGTGTGTGTGTATGTGTATGTATTTATTTGTTTGTATATATGTGTGTGTGTGTGTGTGTGTGTGTGTGTGTGTATGAATGAGCTGGTTTATAGCAGCCTTTGCTCATCTGGTGTCCTTCAGAGCCATTGGGATTACAATTGTCTAGAATTTTAGGATGCTAGGCAGTCTCAGCACATTAAGAGGAAGCCAGGTCTACTAAGTCTGGTCTAAAAGATACTAGATCATGGTTAGTTATTGCTCTTGTGACTCTGGGGTGTAGATGACTAAAGGCTGGCTGTTCTTGCCCTTATCGTGCCAACAGACATCAAAGAAGGGGTAAAACGTGCCTGTAAAACGCTCGTGGAAAGCAAAGAGCTGGACCAGATTGTCTTCATCACTGGCATCATAGAAGGCCAGGAGGCCATCATCGAAGCTCAGGTAGATGCCCACTCGGCTGGGCTTTCCCTCCAGCTTCAGAGACCGGGGTTCCTTGTGCTCCACATAGGCCTCGTAGCTCTTGCCTTCCTTGCAACCCACCAGCCAGAAGCCATTGGACGGGGTGGCATGAAGGCGACCCTTGCGTCCAGTTTCAGCTGAGATGAGGCCCACAGCCCAACGGGGCTTGTCTCCTACTGTCACCTCCCAGTAGTGTTCTCCTTGTGAGAAGCTCTGGTGTGAGACCAGGCAGTTGGACTTGTCAAACCGTTGTGGGTCATCTAGGCTCACGGCTTGTTTATGTTCGACACATTCCACTCTTTTCCCATCTTCGGACACCACAAGGTTGGCTTGGGCAGTGGCTGGGTCAAAGGTCAGGTTCTCCAAAGCTTCAAGAGGACAGAAAGAAGGTAAGGTTAGCCACAATGTGAAAATAAGGACTTTTTCTCTCCCCCCCACCCTTTCATGGAGAAGATTTAATCAATGGATGATTTAATCCATGTTTTTCTTTTAAATAGCATAAGAATGTTCACAATCATTCATTCTGAATTATTCATTCCTTAACATGCAAAGATAGTTCATTGTGAAATCATTAGAAGTTGCTTTTATGGACTTCCGATTGACATCTCAGCAATATCAGACACAGGAAAATGGGGCTCCGTTCCCCTGTCCTGACTTCTCCCTGCTAGTGGGCTCCGAGAGGAGCCAAAAGCATCCTGTAGAGGGGGTGAAGCAAAGAGGGGAACCCTGTAAAGAACTTTATTAGTCTTACTTATATTAGAATGCATGACACCCAGGTGCCACACAGTTCACACATTGATTCAATATATTTGTAAAAAATAAAAAACTTGAAATAAAAAAGAAGTTTCTTTTCTGAATGAAGCTGCCCAATCTTATACCCTCTGCAAAATATTTGCCTCGCTCTCTCTTATTTTTGAATTAAGCTTTCCCAACAAACTATTAATTCAATTTTAGAAAGGATAGAGCTGAAAAAGGAGGAGCCAATGTCATGATGATATGGATGTGCGGTCTCGATGCTCCGAGACCACTGCCGATACTTTTGCCACTGGGTGGTCCAAACGGACCTAAACAATCCCGTAGAGATGGTGAACAGGAAGAATATGTCTTGCTGATCTCAGGGACACCGCAAAGTCCCTGATCGATCCAAGAGAAGTTCTTCAAGCCAGCGACAAAAAGTCCAGCCCCAGGCTGATGAAGTTGGGATGGCTCCAGAATGGAAAGGAAACGGAAAGAGAAAGTGTGTCCATCTGGTGAGGAAACTTTACTGTTTTGGAAAGACTGCCCCCCCCAAAAATTTTAAGTTAAATTAAATCCGAAAGCAGAAGAAAATAAGCAGTGAAAATAACCTATATTGGATTGCTATGGATAGTCTGTTTCTTTTTCTTTGTAATTTTACTTTGTAAATTGAAGTGCTTGCCACTTTTTTTAAAGAGAACGGATCAGTTTTTCTTCTTCTATTTTTTATTTTTATTTTTTAACCTATGGATTAAAGTCTTCTTTATTTCAACAAGGACTTTTGTTACTTGCTATTAATTCTATGGGATAAGAAAAAAGAGGAAAAATGATGGATTTAAGGAGAGAGAACTTCTCAGAAGCAAGATTGACAACCAAAGATAAGCTGAATAAAATAGCAGATGGAGGGCATTGAGATTACTTAAGTGATGCTATAAGCAACAAGCTGCAGAGAGAAGACCACAAAAAAATTATTAAGGAAATAAATAGAAGATCAATTCCACAAATGACAAAAGAAATAAGACTGTATTATTACTGGAAGGATACAGGCTGAAATATGAAAGTTGATAATAAAAAATAGTTAATTTTAGTTAGTGATTAGTAATTTAGTAATTTCTAGAGTGCTATGTTAAATAAATAATTGACATATATGTGCTGGTTTGATGAGAGAAAATTTGATATAATTAGCGAATGAATTTTTGTTAATAAATAATATAACAATAACAATGAAATCACAAGGGTTATACTTAACAATATATATGTGTACTGGCTCAATAAAAGGTATTGGGATACAAATAGTAAACAGCGATTTGGAAAAGAGGATTAGAAATTTTGTTATCAATCATAATTAATTCTTTCTTAGAACATGTTATAAAGGTGTAATGTTATTGGATGATATTAGAAATAATTAACGAAATGTCACTATGTGGTTGTGTTTTCAATTTTGGATTATTTCATGCAAAAGGACGTTAAAACAATTATAGTCAAATGAGAATTGTGGGATGTTGATAGTAAGATATATAGAGATTTTTGATTTAAAATATACAATGTGATGATATGAATTATAAGTAATGACTGTGGAAGAGATGCACGAACGTTATTTGTAACCAATCGACACACTTCTACAATATGTAACGAAAGATGGGTTTTTTTGCGTTGTGTTTGTCTGTTTAACCAAAAATTTAAAAACTCTTTTTAAAAAAAGGATAGAGCTGAATAACAAATATACTGACTACAGCAGGGGTGGGTTTCAACCGGTTCACGGCGGTCCCTGCGAACCGGTTGGTCGCCGAACCCGGAAGTAAGTAACTTCCGGGAACGGCGAAGGGCGCGCCCGCCCGCGGTCCTTACCCAGTTTTGACGAGTTCTGCGCTTCACGCATGCGCAGGACGCATACAGCGCCTGCGCGATCCTCCAGGAGCAGCTGGAGCATCACACAGATGCTAGTACGCATGCGTGCACTGCTCGCGTGCACAAGGACGCCGCCGGCCCCGTTCCAACCGAGCTGGTTGGAACGGGGTGAGAAACCCACCCCTGGACTACAGGTAATCCTTGACTTAACAACCATTCATTTAGTAACCGTTTGAGGTTTCAATGGTCTTGGAGAAAAGTGACTAATCATTATTTTTCACACAACTGTTGCAGTATCCCTGCAGTCACATGATCAACATTCAGATGTTTGGTTCATATTTATGACGGTTGCAGTATTCTGGGATCATGTCCTATGGTCACCTTTTACGACCTGGCAAGCAAAGTCAATGGCGAAGCCAGGTCCATTTAACAACTGTATTCCTAACTTAACAACTGGTGATTTACTTAACAACTGTGGAAAGGTTGTAAAATGGGGGGAAACCCATTGTATCTCTATCTTGCTTAGCCATAAAAATTTTGGGCAGAAATTGTGATTGTATATTGAGGATTACCTGAACACTTTATCTTTAGGAAAGTGTTCTCTTTAGCACTCAGGGCAGAGATGTTACCGTGTTGTGTCATGTGATAGGCAGAGGTGATATTCAACCAGTCGGGACCAGTTTGCCCGAAATGATAGCGGAAATCGCGGGTGAGCTTTCCCACCCACCCCCGCTCTCTGCCATCCTATTTAGGCATGTTTTCAAGCCAAAGTGCATGTATGGAAGGTCGTGTGCTCACATTTGTGAATTTGGTAGTGAAAGTAAGTGACAGCCACCCCTGGTGATGGGCTATAATAACCTGTACTGTAATGGCAACATATAGACTGGGGCGAGGTAAATTGGAGCCCCTACATCAACTCTTGCATTCAAAAGGACACAAAGGTCCAACTTCTTTTTTTAAAAATCCACATGCCACCTTTATCTTGCAAGTGGTGGCCTCTACCTGGCATTATTGCACGGAACATCTTCCTCCATACTTGGAATTTAAATTCATCAGAAATTATGGGGAGCTGGATATCCATGCGGGCAATGGGTGGAGATTCCCCCAGGATCTTCTGCAATCTATGGGAAGAAGGAAAGCAAAGACATTTTATCAGAGCTTGGGGGAGAGAAGGGGACCCCCCTAATTTTCTTTTAGATTTCCCCTTATTAAATTTAATTAAAAAAAATAGTGACAGTTAATTGTTTATTAAAACAAGATTCCCAAACAAGGAGCCCATCAACATATCTTGGAGGACATGTTCCACATTTTGAAGGAATTGCGGCAGTTATAATTCAACCTTTCTGGAGAGAGAACAGGATGAAGTACAGAAAAGTTGGATGATGGTCATATAAAATAGAATAATAGAATTGGAAGGGAACTTGTCGGTCATCCAGTCCAACCCCCAGCCCAAGTAGGAGCCCCTACACCATTTCAGACAAATGATTGTCCAATTTCTTCTTAAAAACCTGCAGTGTTGGAGCACTCACAACTTCTGGAGGCAAGTTGTTCCACTGATTAATTGTTCTAACTGCCAGGAAATTTCTCCTTGGTTCTAGGTTGCTTCTCTCCTTGATTAGTTTTCATCCATTGCTTCTTGTCCTGCCCTCAGGTGCTTTGGAGAATAGCTTGACTCCTTCCTCTCTGTGACAGCCCCTCAAATAGTGGAACACTGCTATCAAGTCTTCTCTTCTCTAGACTAGCCATGCACAGTTCCTGTAGCCATTCTTCATATGTTTATAGCAGTGATAGTGAACCTTTTTTGGCACCAAGTGCCCAAACCGGAATGTTAGTGCATGAACCTGCATGCATGCGCCAGAGCACCGGAAACCTGAAGACCAGCTGGCTGGTACGCACATGCCTGCTTTTTGAACTTTTTTTTTGTTCTTTTTGAAGTTGGTTTTCAGCTGTTTTGGGGCCAAAAATGCCCCCCAAACGTGGCCTGAAAACAACCCGAATAATGGCCCAAAAAAAATGGCCTGTTTTTGGCATTTTTCAGGCCATTTTTTAAAACTTTTCTGGCCTTCTGGTGCCCACGAAGACCAGCTTGCCAGCACGCCTATGAGTGCCGGAAACCAGAAGAGCAGCTGTTGATGGCACGCATGGCCACAGAGAGGGCTCTGCATGCCACCTCTGTCATAGGTTCGCCATCACTGATATATAAAATTATAGAAATCATTCTCCAAGTGCTGCTACCTACAGAGCAAGGATGGGAAGGCCTATTTAGAAATGTCAGCAGAGCCAGAGAAACTGAAGGTTTACAGTACAGATAGGCCTCAATTTACCACCGTTCATTCAGTGACCATTCAAAGTTACAAAGGCACTGAAAATGGTGATATATGACCATTTTTCACACTTATAACTGTTACAGCATGCCCCATGGTCACATGATCCAAATTTGGAATCTTAGCAACTAGTTCATATTTATGACAGTTGCAGTGTCCTGGAGTCATGTGATCACGTTTTGCTACCTTCTGACAAGCAAAGTCAATGGGGAACCTGAATTCATTTTACAACTGTGTTCCTAATGGGAAAACTGCATTGATTCTCTTAACAACTGTGGCCGGAAAGGTTGCAAAAGCAAAACTCACTTAGCAACTGTCTCACTTAGCAACAGAAATTTTAGGTTCAATTGGGGTCATAAGTCAAGCAGTAGCTTTAGTAGAATTAAAAATTGGAAAAGAATCTTTGAAATGGGAAAGTATGAAGGCAGAATCAACGCGAGACAGATGGAGACTGAATGGGCGCTAGGGAAATAGAGCAACCTGTTGGACAGGAAGGGAGAAATCATAGCGAATGTCATATGTCACCACAAAATAATGAAAGCCAAATAAAAGAATTATAATACGAATCAAACTCTGGGAGATCAGATCTCAAATTAAAAAGAGTAACATGGAATGGAGTAGAATAGAGTCGAGTGGAACGAAGTGGAATGGAATGAAGTGGAAATAGAATGGAATGGAATGAAGTGGAATAAAAATAAGAATAGAATAGAGTAGAATAGAGTAGAATAAGAAATAGAGTAGAATAAGGAATAGAATAGAATAGAAAATAATAGAAAAGAAAAGAGAAAAGAAAAGAAAAGAAAAGAATATTCTTTATTGGTCAAAAGTGATGGGACATGCAAGGAATTTGTCTCTGGTGCATAAGTTCTCACTGTACATACAAACAACAAAATGATAAATGATACATACTAAGAAAACCTCTGCATCTATATAGTTTAACATTAAGGAACATTGGAGATTTTGGTGAATGGCAGAAATTTATTCAGAGCATTTTCCTCTTGATTTTCTCCATAGACAAGCCTCATTATTTGTTGAGATTCTAATAAAGTTCTGTTTCTATAGTTTCAGGACTATACAGGAATTCTATGTTCAATTCCTTAGAAATGCAGGTTGCATTAAGAACATCTTCAACAAATAACATTGGAGACTTCGGGTTTGATGTTGCGATGAGATTGAACGTGAGGAGCAGGACTCCGCAATTGTGCTGAATCCTCCTTGTTGGAGGCCCCCCCCCCCGAGGGGCTAAAGTCACCCTGTAGGGTGAAAAAGAAAGGAGGAGCACTCTGCAGGTTGTGGAGAACAATGGCTCTCTAGCTGGACCTAGGTATTCCCTCTCATCCAAGGACAAAAAGAAGAGGCAACCATTATTTACAGAGCCGAGGTGGCGCAGTGGTTAAATGCAGCACTGCAGGCTACT